ATGAATGATGGTACGATTCACATACTGTACTCTATGTATAGCACACTGATAGCTCATCACAAGTTATCACAGGGCTGACTGCACCCACATCAGATTGCAGCTACAAGGATTTAATAGACCACGACTTTCACAGCCTCTGAAGAGTCAGGTTCACAGTCATTCTTCAGAGGGCGTTTGACTAGCGCTGAGAATGAGCTATGTCCCCGCCTGTTTTAACTCATAAACACCTGCACCGCAACTGCATGCATTGCACATGTGATGCAGCCCTGTTCACTTGGGTGGGTGTGCTCATTGGACCACATCGCCCATCAAATAATACAGGGAGAGCATTTTTCCTGCATCATGACGCAAAGCACTGCAGCCACAATCCACCACTTTTACAGCTTATAAGGAAACTGTCGCAGGGCAGTAAAAACACAGCTCAACTAGGGTGCTTTTACCACCTCCACTACAAGTGTAAACTAAGCTGAATGCCATGAAACGTGTATTTTCAGGGAGTTCATCGATGTGTCACCTTAACGAAGGACTAAAGGCAACACTTTTTTTATTATAATTTTGAACAGAGTAAGGGAGGGTTATAATCCCTTGTCAGTTCATATTTCTGTCTTCTGTGCTCCCTTAGGGAGGTTTCCCTTCACTTCCTGCCCATAGCCCTTCAAAGTGAGGGAATCCCTGGTAGTCACCAGAACTAATGTCACCTATTGAAGATTTCCCTTCCATGTAGACATGTGCAGAAGGAAAAAATTTGATTAGTTTCAGATCAGTTTTGTTAAATTAGAAGAATAGCTGGTTCTATTTTATTGACAATGCACATTCCAGAAGATGGCTATAGCTCTTCTATTTTATTCTATTCCCTTCTATTCTATTCCATTATATTCTATTCTATCCTTTTTGAAATTCAAATTTTGGAAGACAGCTATATTCAATCTATTCCAATCAAATCTATTCTATTCTACTCTTTTATTGTCTATTCATTTCTATTCTATTCCTTTCTAACCCTTATTTTCTTTTCAATTCTATTCTATTCTTTTATTATCTATTCCGTTTTTTTTCTTTTCTATTTTATTATTTTCTAATTTCGGAAGATGGCTTTATTTATTCTATTCAAAATTCGAATTTTGAAAGACAGCTTTATTTTTTAAATTTTTTTCTATTCTATTCGAAATTCAAATTTCGAAAGACGGCTGTACTATTTCAATTTTCTTCTATTCTATTCAAAGAAATTTGAATTTCGGAAGACAGCTATATTCTTTCTGTTTTATTCTATGATATTCTTTTCTAGTCTATTCTATTTTTTTCTATTCTATTCCTTTCTATTCTAATCTATTCTTTTCTATTCTATTCTGTTGTTTTAGTTTCTGTTCCATTCTTTTCTGTTTTATTGTTGCCATTAGAAATAAATAGCACCTCAATGCATTGATGCTTGTTAGAATCACTTTGCTGCAACATTGTGAATAGGACCTAACTCAGGGAACTCCAAATCTCTCTTGCGCTCATTGTCCCTTTCATGAAGTTTCAGATTGTTTATCAACCCCAAGCATTTATTATATGAAAATAATTTAATAACATTACTATAAAGTGGCTGTAAACCCTTACATATACCCAATGAAGTGACAGGCTTTAGGTGACACACAGAGATGAAACAAAGCCTCCTACATAAGTTGTACCTGTTTATCTGCAGTTTCCTCTTCTCTACATCTGTTCAAAGTGCTGAATTTAGAAAGCTTGTCTGAGAGTTAATAAAAGGGGGGGGGGGGCAGAGAGCTGAAGTTACACTCTGCAGAGCTCAGTGAGAAGAGCTCTGAGAGCTGATTGGAGGGAAGGGACCACCCCCCCTTCCCACAGCACACAGGAACAGAGCTGAGGTTGTCAATCTGCCAGAGCTCCCTCCCCGTCATCATTTTTTTCTTGTTGTCAGGAAATCTTCTCAGAAATGATTCATGCTGACAGCAGAGGAATGAAGCAGCAGACAGAAATGATACTTAGTGCTCTTAATTGAGACAAGTACACACTATAGAGGGATATGCTTTGTTCATATTTCGTGTCTGAGTTTTCCAACCACTTTACATAGGAGTTCTATGGATAATAACAGATAATGATAACAATGATATTCTTGTACATACCGAAGACCCTTTCTCTTGGTATCAGCAGCTACTACTATTTGTTGCATTGCTGAAATTGTAGTAAATACCCAGCAATGAGTTCATTGGTACCACTCCTATCCATATGGGTGTACTCACTGGCACTCCAAAAGAGTTTGAGATGGACTATGTTCAGTGAGGTAAGTGAATATGTATGCATATCCTTTTCAGAGAGAGGGGGCTGAAGGTCACATACACACAACACGCAGCTGATAGAGACAACTCAAGACCCTTCTCGCTTGTGGATGAACATCCAACCCTGGGGAGCACTGTGTCACCACTAGCCGTGTGACTTTCAGGACTCGGTGTGCAGCTCTACAGAGACCTCCAGAGATGAATTGCCCCAAGCTAGGTTTTTCCACATTTATCACCCACTGATTGACCTCCAGAAATGTACTGACCAGGGGCGGACTAACCATTTGGAAACTCGGGCACTGCCTGTGGGCCCGGGGTCAGTAGGGGGCCCCATGAGATGCCCCTGGTACCTTTTTCATAGGCTTTTTTGAGTTTGGGCAAGGACACAGGGGCCCCATGATCCCCTATTGCCCGGGGGCCCCATGAGTTGTCAGTCTGCCCCTGGTACTGACAGTGAGTTGGAAGGAAGTGTTTTATAGTTCACACTTTTTGAAGATAAGATTTGTTTTAGTGGCCGTGAAGACAAACGGATTTTTTTCAGTTTTCACGTTATTTATTGATGAAAGAAAACACTGATGTGAAAATGAGAGACAGCTAAGAAACTGCATATGTTATGGGTCCTGTTTTAAAGACTTTGTATTATTAGGATATTTAATATATTTTTTGTTTTACGTCACTAAATATAACTTTATTGGTTTTCAAAGTCACATGTTTATGTTTATTGAGGAATTTCTTGACCGTTGGGATATATTGTTTATAATATTAGTTAATATTTAGAGCAGCACACTTTTTCTTTAAGTTGGTTCAAGGGACAGCGGGTAAGATGGGTCAGGAGGGAAGCCAGAGTAGGGATCAGGAGGGGAACAAATAGAGGCAGCAGGATCTGGGTAACAGGTTTAATGCATTAAGGTCAGAGTAAAAGGTACAAGGCACGTTTACAGATGCAGGATCATAGGTTCAGGGACAGCAGGATCAGATCATTTGGGCACACAGGACTAACACTGAGGCACTGTGGAAAATTACAGAAGGAGCTAAATACCCACACAGCAGCCAGCATCAGGTGGAGACTAAATACTGAAATCTGCTGGCTGTTTGGAGACATCCATTGGTGGACACCAGGACTACACCCTTCAGGTCCAGGAACCACAGTATCACCAGTGAGACTTTCAGTTCCTAAAAAAGACACATTCTGAAAGTAAACAGCTGCTGCTTTGCTTGGTCTTTAGGTGTAGACAGATCTTCACTTGTGCTAAACGTGACATGAATGCAAGTCTTCTCTTGGCACTATTCCCATGCTTTAGTTATCGTCCTCATTATACAATGCAGTGTCTTTTTTGATAAATCAGCTGGCCAATCACAAGAGACAAATTCGGATACCTGCACAAATTGGAAAACACACACTTGGAAGAGGTTATGATATGCCATTGTAATGCCACATACCAGTGTACATCATGTTATCAGAAGCAACATTTTGAAGTAACTCTAAATCTTCATTTTTTAAAAAAAATAATAAACATGTCATACTTACCTGCTCTGTGCAATGGTTTTGTCCCCAATCCTCCTCTTGTGGGGTTGGCGCTCTAGGCTCCTCCTCTTCAGTGAGTACCCCATAGCAAATCACTTACGGGGTTGATCCCGAGTCAAGCTGCCTGCGTCCATAAATATACAGAATGTGGCTCGGCCAATAGCTCTTGCTGCTGCCTCTGTGAGCAGAGAGAAGAGAGCAGGGGCAGACTGACCATTTGGAAACTCGGGCACTGCCCGAGGGCCTCTGGTCAGTTGGGGGCCCCATGAGATGCCCCTGGTACCTTTTTCATAGGCTTTTTTGAGTTTGGGCAAGAACACAGGGGCCCCATGATCCCCTATTGCCCAGGGGCCCCATGAGTTGTCAGTCCGCCGCTGGGAGAGAGCTGCTGCAGACAGGCACAGTGCTGGATCCAGATCAGGCTCCGCTGTGTACTATTTAGGGAGGGCTGGGAGGATCCATGTCACAGAAGATTTTTTAACTTAATACAGAGAAAGCATTACGGTAAAAAACTTTCAGCCTTCAGAATCACTTTAAAGCATTTTTTGCTATTATGCTGAGAAAATGAATATTTCTTTCAGGCAAGCCATCATGTACACCAACAGAATAACACTGATTTCAGTAATTTCATACAGAGCACTCTACATTTGTTATTATAATTTCGTAGACTCAAATTTCCTAGCAGGCCATGTATTCTAAGCCCTTTGAAAACAGCCTAGGTAAAATTGCCAGATTTTATAGGAAAATATTGTCCCTACTATATTTTTGCTGCTGTTTTATTATTATTATTTACCACTTGGTCTCCAGAGGATTTACCCCCCTTCCTGACCAGGCCATTTTTTGCGTTACAGCGCTGCCTTACTTTAACTGACAATTGTGCAGTCATGCAACGCTGCACCCAAATAGAGCTTTCTTTTGATGGCATTTCATCATCTGTGCGTTTTTTTATTTTTTGCACTATAAAAAAAAAAGACCGACAATTTTGTGAAAAACAATATTTTTGACTTTTTGCTATTAAACATGTCCAGTAAAAAAATTTTAAAAATAAAATTTCGTCATAAATTTAGGCCAAAATGTATTCTGCTACATGCATGTAAATTAATTAGTTTACATGAAAGTTATAGCATTTACAAATGGCGATATATATACTGGGCTTTTTTTAATTTTATTTTTACTAGTAATGGCGGCAATCAGCAACTTACAGCAGGACTGCGGCAGGCATCCTTACACTGGGGGGAACGACTTAGTGTCACTGACATGCCCAGTGACACCAATACAGTGATCAGTGGTAATAAAAAGCACTGACACAGTACTAATGGCACCGGGCAGGAAGGGATTAACATCTGAGGCGATCAAAGGGTTAACTGTGCGCTGTGTGTCGTTTTACATTATGTTCTGTGTGTGTGCTTCACTGCAAGCACACTGCTTTACATGGCTGTGCTGTGCACAGCCATGCAAAGCAGTGTGCATGAACTGACAGGGAGGAGAACTGTTTTGTTTATTAATAGTTTTCCCCCTGTCAGAGATCCTCAGCAATCACCAGGCGCTGGTGAGACCCGGTGATTGACAGCCGCGGCTATGCATGGAGGCGCAATAGGCGTGTGCCCCATACCCGGAAATGCAAAAGCATGTATATATATGTTATTTTGCACACAGCTGCCGCTCTGTAGCAGTATTTCTGCTATGGGCGGAGCTAAACTGGTTAATAATAATGTTTATTATTAATTATAAAGGGTTCACATTGTGCCAGCAGTTTGTTCAGTGATTTACAAAATACAGGGAGGTGCCCCTCCCCTATGTTTACCTGTCATTTGGCATGTGTCTTTCGATGGGACCAATCTTGTTTGTCGGGACAGGGGTTTTGTTTCTTTCCTGTGGGTCATTCATTGTGATTGATGTAGGATTTACATTGGGGGAAAAACTGTCTGTGTTTTTATTTACTTTTGACATTTTGTTTTGGTGAATGAGTAAGGGAACTAATGTACCCCATACTCATTCACATAGAGGAGGCGGGATCTGGAGGCCCCTTGTTAAAGTGGCTTTCATATGCCAGTAAGTCACCCCCCTCCCGCAGCCCCACAACCACGAGGCCAGGGTTGTGGGAAAATGGTCCTTGTCCTCATCAACATAGGGACAAGGTGCTTTGGGGGGGAGCCCCCTCCCCCAGAACCCCCGCATGTTGAGGGCATGTGGCCTTGTATGATTCAGGAGGGGGTAAGCTTGCTCACCCTCCCTTTCCTGGCCAGTCAGGCTTCATGCTTGGATAAGGATCTGGTATGGATTTTTTGGGGAAACCCCATGCCATTTTGTAAAACATTTTGGCATGGGGTTCCCCAAAATCCATACCAGACCCAAATGGCCTGTTTTAGCAAAGTTGCCCTTTAAGTCTTCTCCCCAACCCCTGAGTCGCAGCTACCTACCTAAACACATACATTTTGCCCCTAGTTCTGTGATGTTTTCTGAGTGACAGTGCATAGCTTGTGAATTTTTCAGCTCCAGTAATTGCAGTAAACCTCAGAATCACATACCTGGATAAGGATTGAGTTGACACATGGTGGTGCATTTCCTTGCACCTTGCTCAACACCCCTGGAAGTGTTGTACATTTAGTCCTCATGCCAATGGATGTTTTTACAGCTGCTCTTTTTGGCTTTTGATGTTTTTTTCTACAGCCAATAAACTCCCCAGCATGTTATCATATGTGTCCATGCACATATAGACTGTAATCAATGTTTTTTGGCAGGGGTCTTTTTTTGGCTGGAAGAAAAAACCCAGAACTAGTGAGTTTCTAGAGGAGATTTTTTTAGCTGTAAAAACTCTCTAACGCTGTAAAATGCTGCAAATCGTGACAAACCAGCATTTTTGGGCATTTCTTTGTGGTCAAATTTTAAACTCTAAAAATGCAAACAGGAAAAAACGCAGCAAGACGCCGCTAAATACAAATACAAAAACGCTAAAAAACACTGAAAAACTAACATTTTTAACATGACGTTACACATCTAATGTTACCAGCGTTATCAAAATGCCCAGTGTGCATGGAGCCTTAGGGTCGAAACACACCTTTGTCATACAATGTGTTGCGGTAACATTCATTACTGCAACACAAGTTATTATAACATTGTGCGTGTTAGTGCGTTGCTGTGTCTATCATTTTTGAATGGCAACACCTAATGCACTAAGGCAATCAGCTCTGATACATCATGCATTGCAGTGCACCACAATATACAGTAACGCATTACAACGAGCTCTGTTACGCTGCATTACAAAAATTGCCATGTCTGTTTTTTTCTGCTTTTGTGTGTTGGCATCATATTTCAAATTAGTGGGCTTCCTTAAAGGCCACAACACATTTAATGCACGATATTGTGAATGTTAACACAATACACAAAGAATGTACTGGTCTGAATGGGCCCAAAGTGTAAGGCCAAGGAGCGGCACACATTCAGACAGAAAATTCAGGTGTAGTCAAGCTAAATGTTCAAAAATATAAACACTCCACTTGTAAGGAAATATGTCTTGGGCTACTATCCTGGGTCTTAATCGGGGGACAATCCAGGTAAAAACTAAGACTGGCTCAGCTTACCTGACCAGCCACACCTTTAATTCCATTTCCCAACACCAGTTTATAGGAATCAGCCTATGTCTGTAGGCCCCTGTCCTCGTTATTTTCACCCTCAGGCCTGGGAGAAATAAATGCTCCAGACACCGAAGTGTGCAAGCTAAATTTCTGGAAAGTGTAATGCAAAACAAGAACGTTTATACAGAACTCAGTAGCATTGCTTAATCTTAGGATGACCAATGAAACATTCCATTCTTATCAATATAGTTTACGTGAAGAACAGAAACTGCAAATAGTTGAGGGATATTCATAATAAGTAGTTCTGTTTACAGAAATTAAACTATTCTCAGAAACGAGAGAGAAGTTCCAAAAACTCAAAACTAACTGTTGACACATCTAGAAATGGAGGCATTATACAAAATAGATGACAGTAAGACATATTTCCTTTACACCACTGCTGTATGATTCCTAAGTTGAATGGGTCCCCTTTTACACACCAGGCCCCATGGCATCCACTTGGGCTGCTATAGCTATAGTTATGCTGTTGATAAAAGAAAATACAATCATAAAGAGAACAACAAAAACAAATACATAAAATATGAAGTCTTCATCATAATTAAAAAAATATAAATACTAAAACCGTGTTAAAAAATTGTAAATTTTGCAGCTACACCCAAAAGCAATCAATCAGAATATAGGCCAAGTTTTCTTTTCAGAGAATTGAAGTCAATGTTCATGTATTACTGCAGGTCCAAAGATTTTAAAAATTCACATCATCAGGGATTCAATACATACATTTTAAGTTAGTCATTAAATTAATATGAAACTTCTGCATTGTTATAAATGTACATGCATATTTATTCATTGGCAATTGTGGTAATTTTGACTTTAAATATAAAATATGTATAGGCTTCTATTCACGCTAAGTGAGATCTATAAAAAGATGGTTTTGAAAATGGCAAATGCAGACAAATTATGACAAATGAATATTTACGCAGAGGAGAATGAGGTCTTAATTATATGTATCCCTTGCCAATGGCAATATAAATAAGCTAATTATAGCATAAGTAGGTTGTGATCATTCTAATGTGCTATGCATCATTATCAGATACAAATCACTACACCGAAACATGATTTTGAGTGCTGACACATTCCCAACATACATTGCAATTTTACATGGTGATAGCTATGCATGGACATCTGCTATTTGTGAAATTACAAATGTGTTTAAAGTTTATTTTTTTTTTAATATATATGTATTGTTATGTGGAGTATATGTTGTATATGTATTATGTTTTATATGTATTATGCTTTATATCCTCAGATATTATAAATTTTTATATGAACTGTATGTAGTATATAAAGAGTTAAAGTGAAAATTCTATGCTAACACAATGAACTTTGTTTATTTCCTTCTTTTTCGGTCGTATTAAATTACCACTCACATTTTTTTATACTGTTCGATAAATGTAAACAATAATAAAGTGGATCTAAAAGCTTTGGACATTTTTTTTACCTTAAAGCAGGGTGTCAAACTGGCGCCTTTCCAGCGGTTGCAAAACTGCAAGGCCCATCATGCCTCTACTACCTTCGGAAGTCATGCTTGTAACTGTCAATCTTGCAATGCCTCATGGGACTTGTAGTTTTGGCAACAGCTGGAGGGCCGCCATTTTTGACACCTGTGCCTTAAAGCATTCCCTGCATTAAGGTAAAAAATATCCCAGTGTTTGTTTCAACTCCCTTATCCCCCTTTATACTCACCAGAGTCCATGTTTCGATTCCAGTGCTGTGCCCATCCTGCAACAGCTCTCTCCCCCTCTTCCTGCTTACATTAGTCAGCAGCAAGAGCCATTAGCTCCTGCTGCTGTCAATCAGATCCTTTGAGCAGGAAGTTGGGGCAGGGCTGAGCATCGCTGTGTGTGTTAATAGACACACACAGCCTGGCTCAGTTTCTAGCCAGCAGGTGTGCCCCCATAGGTAGCTAGTCTTACCTTTTGGGGGATACATTAAAAAAAAGAAGGAAGCAACCACAAGAAACGGGCGGGGACACCAAGGAAGGAAGAAGTGCCGGGGCTGCCTTCTATGTGTTAGATACCATATTGCACCCAGAGCTCATGGTAATGCTTAACAACCCGTTTAGGTTCTTCATAACTTTTTTTAAAAATTGTCGGTTTTCCCCATAATCCCCTTCTAATTCTTCCAGAAAGCTAAGTTACATAGTTAGACTCTGCTGAAAAAACACAAACGTCCATCCAGATTCAACCATTTAAAAAAAAATATGTTATAATCCCCTACCACACAGTTGATCCAAAGTATGCAAAAAAAACAGGCAAAGGCATGATCCAATATTTGCTCATGTGCAGGGGAAATAAAAATGCCTTCCTGATCTCTCTGAGAGGCAATTGGATAGTTCCCTGGATCAACTTTCACCTGTTATTAAATGATTATAGTATCCGCAGTTAGTATTCAGTGTATCTACGAAAAATAATCCAGGCCTTTTGATTATAAAGCAATTTCACTGAGTTGACCAAACCAACTACTTAAGGGAGTCTATTCCACATTTTCACAGCTCTCACTGTGAAGAAACCTTTCCGTGTTTGGAGATTACATTTTTTTTCCTCTAGACGTAGTAAAGAGTGCCCCCTTGTCCTCTGTGGTGATCTCAAGGGTGAATGAACTCTACACTAAGTTCACTATATGAACCACTGGATGTATTTATACATGTTGATCATATCCCCCCCCTTAATCTCCTCTTCTCAAGAGAGAAGTAAATTCAGTTCCTCTAATCTTATCCTCATAGCTGAGCTCCTCCATGCCTCTTATCAATTTGGTTGCCCTTCTCTGTACTTTCTCCATGTTCCCCAATGTTCTTATTTGTGAATTGGTCGCCCAAAACTGAACTGCATATTCCAGATGAGGTGTTACTAATGATTTGTTACAGGGGTATATGATATCTCTCTCTCTCTCTGGGAGTCTATACATCTTATAATACAAAGAGAGGATTTTGCTCGCTTTAGAAACCGCAGCTTGGCATTGCATGTCATTTATTAGGCTAGTGATCTACCAGAACCCC